TAAAGGAGCAGAAACTTTTTCTGTGGATTTTTAGGGTGTTTTAGGCTTCAAAAGCACAAGTTGTACATGAATAGATACGACTTGCGCTGAATTGCTATTTTATGGTCTTGAAAAATCACTGATTTTTAAAGCTTAAAAACATTCTCTCTTCAAGTATAAAATTTAAAAAACGTACAATGTTATCAAAGAGGACCATGAAAGAATATTTTTTGCATGTTTCTAAAGGAATTATTCGAATTTATAAAGATATCGAAATCTATGGTAACAGGAAACATTATACGACTAATTTTTTTAGAGTTTAGTTTCTGTAGGCGGTCATGAAAAAAGCTTGTTCAAAAGCCGGTCTCATGAAGTTACTGCACTATCTGGGAATTATTTTGCAGGATAATAAATAGGACGAGTTTAGGTAGGTTATATTTTCTTATCAAAGCATATTTAAAAGTGTTGGTTTACAGTTCATGAGTCATTACATCTACTGAGGAAGTTTAAAGACTTTATCATGGCTAATGTCGGACAAAGCAGAGGCTTATGTTGACAGATTCAGTTTTAGAAAACAATACCCTGCCACGCAGCATGCAAACGTCAATTGAATCTCACTTGATTTGACGGACGTGTTGGCGTAGAGCAGCTCGTCGGTGCTATTATTCCAAACGGATAGTTCTTGCAAAATATAAACTCCGTGAAGTCGATCGGGTTCTGCGCCAACCATGCTGTACCCGTCGGCCGGATCGTTGACGAGCGGATCTTGCTCGAAGGTCCACCGAACGTGCAGAGTATAGTTGTTGGTAAACATAACGTCAATAAAAGTTCCATTCGGGACACTGCATTCACCCGCGGCCTCCTGCTCAATCCGAGGAATCTCGATTTGTGACTGAGTGCAAAGTCGTGCATTAAAACAAAACAAGGTACGCTTACGGGTACTGAATCTGTGAAGATGAGGCTCGCATTTTGTGGAAGTTCAAGGCCGGCGCATGGTGTTGAATCGACTTCTGACTTTATGAAGAAGGTAACAACGGATATATTTGCAATGCCAGGCGCCCCGCAACAGACCGTGGTAATAAAAAGGGAGAGTAGGAGCATTGGAGAGCCATCTACGCGCCTAAAATATAATACAACTATGGTCAAAGTACTCAACGGAAATCCGGCCCTGAGAGCCAGGTTGGTGATTAAAATTCGTAATGGGACTGTCTGTCAATAGTAAAGTTTTACTGTAAGATCAAGTACTTATTATGTTTTAATGGAGACCGGAGAATTATCATTACGACCTATGCAATTAAGTTTTGCGTTCAATCCCACTTTGAGCTCAATAGGCAGATGGGGCAACCTTTCAAAGTTGCGTTGAAGGATAGCTAAAAATCCTAGTTAATGCAATCTGCGCTCACATATCGATGCCTCATAAGAAACTTGCCTGAGAATATTATCTGAAATATACACTAACCTAGTTTATGAGATAGGGATGCCGTGCATAATGGACTATGAATCAAATTGGAGTATATAAATAAACAGGTACATTTATTTATGAAGCAAGCAGAGGGCCCAAAATTGCGTTGCTGACCCCATTAAACAAACAATCAATGATTTAAATATATTCCAACCGAAACTTCGGGGACCTAATAATTGCGCCCAATGTGAATAAAGGTATCTGATTACGATTATTTCTTGCATTACTGTGTTGGAAAGCGCCTAAGGGTCTTCTGTCGTATCAAATCACTAATTCCTCGCATATATCAATACTTCTAGCTAAAATTACCATCCGTCTTCCTTCTTTGCAAGCTTCTCAAGTAAACAAAGCGTTTATTTATAACAACTCGGAGGCCATTCTTAAAAAAGGTGGCAGGCCTTTCTCGAGGTTACAATGCGTACTAAAGTATAAAGTGTGTAAGTTTACGTGCAGAAGACCTTAAACACACGTTTCATTTTCAGAGGTTTTGAGTCCAAAACCCTAAAAGGTCATAGCTGCCATGTTCTATATAACATGGTCTAAAGTCGGTCAGTCGGTCAGTCAGTCGTAACTGAACACTCGGAGGCCTGCTAATCATTTCCTGGCGGAAACTGTTTTCCGCTATTTACAATTCGTAACCTCAGCGGAGGACCCTCTACTTCAAATTCTCGAGTTAAATCCACATTTATTCCTATGGTTTGCAAAACTGTTATCAGGAAGTCTTTGTTTAAGCTTACGTGCGCATAAGGGATTTGGAAGAAAGCATGGGATAGATTTTAAGATTATATTATATTAGTGCTCGCTCGTTTAGCAGGCAGTTTCCCGGATGATATTTATTGTGCAACTCATAACCACCAATAATCTAAGCGTTGCAAGCAAAATATAATCTTTTATTAATTCCGCATTGATCTTCGTCAAGTAAAATATAAGCGAGACGATCGTATACATTTAATGACTTCGAAATAAGTAACCTATCCAAACAGTCGTTTCGTCATCTAAATAAATTTCTACCCAAAAACTTCAATTATAGCTGCATTGAAAGCAAGTTCAATCAACAGTTTTTTTTAGTTTTATTACACGGAGATAACTAATAGCAAAAACGGCTGTGTGGGGCCATTATACTTTATCAAAAGTGTTCTACTTATTCATTACCTCTTAGTACCTAGTGGATTAAGTGTGTATTTAATGGTCAATTTTTCATGAAAATCAATTCTTGCCCGTTGGCTATCCTAGTTGGTTTGAAAGACTACAGTGCCTGCATGGCATTGACAGTTTGAACGTCTAAGCTGGTGATTCATTAAACACTATCTTTAAGGGCACGTATTTTACGTCCATAAGAAATAGGCCAAAACATATCTTTAGGAATATTCTTCCATTACGGCTTACAAACGAGTTTAAGCGTGAGCATATGACAACGTTTCTCCATTATTTTGAAGGACACGTTTCTTTTTAAGGTAGCAAGTTCGACAGTATGTTTATGTTGCTTCAAACTATGCTACTATCCAACTTCGTTGTTGAATTGCAAAGAACCTGTACCTACAATGCCGGCGTCCTTTCGACTTTACAACTTTCTCTGGAAACGTTTCTGCTTGTGCACACTTAAATACAAAGTCAGTGCTAGGTTTGAATCGTTTAGAGGCGATTTGGGAAAGCTATCGATTTCCCAGTAATAAAACCTTACACTGTAGTTAATATTTTTAACCGATAACCTGATACCATACTAGCCAACCTCGCTTTCATTCTCGGTACATCTACCGGAGGTCCGGGTAAATATCTAGCATGCATTGCTTTCAGAAATTATTCATTTGTCCATCCGTTATATTCAAGTTTACAAATAGTCACCACATTAATGAGTTATGTTTCCATCAAAGAGTAATGAAATCAGATGTATATGCCGGAATAGTAGTCACGTCACTACAATCCGCATGAAAAAACGCATAAAAAACCATCATCAAATTTGCTACTTATTTGCTCGAATTTAAAGATTTTAAAGGAGATAATACGTTTTTCATACCTAGCCATCTCGTCGAGAAATAGCATATGTTTAGATTTTCTCTTAAATTTCTTGGTAAGTGTTTTACCCTATGCTTAAAGGTCACGTTTCTTTATAAATGCCGCAGACTTTATGATACACCTAAAAAGGGTGGTTGTCAACAGCGCAGGTGTGTGTGCAGTCGTTTTACGATTGTCGCTTAACACAGCTGAAAATGTTCGTCTGTTAGAAAACCACAAACTATTTCACAACATGTACTGAAGAACACCTTA